CGTCGGGCCCCCTGAAATGGGCCCTTGTGCAGGCTCAGCATGTAACAGCATTCTGGATCTGGACGTCTGGCCGGTTGCCATGGTGTATATGTCTGTGCTTGTTTGCGTGTTGATTTTTCCAGCTGCTCTGTGATGCTTTTGTTTAAGAGATGATCACTTCTTCGGAGTTCTTCCCAAATCTGTGAACGAAAGAAGTCTGGGGAGGGATTTTTGTGGTATTGGACAGCCAACAAGCTAAGACACCAGGCTGGGTGCGTGGGCTCTCTGGCGGCCAGGATGGGCCTGGCCGGGCAAGGTCCAGGGCAGGTCCCAGATCAAGTCTTGGGTAGCCCCAGCACCACCCCTTCCCCCCAGCCCCCCTCCCCCCCCAAAAAAAGGTTCTCGAAGAAAAAGATGTGTAGAATTGCAATGCAAACCAGGTCCCAGGCCAAGTCCTGGGTAGCCCCAGCACAAGGAGGGGGGGGGGGGTGGGGGGGTGGGGGAACAAGAAGAAGAAGAAGAAGAAGAAGAAGAAGAAGAAGAAGAAACACTCTCGAAGAAAGAGATGTTGTGTAGAATTGGAATGCAAAGTTGCAAACAACTTTTCTCCAAGGGTCACCTCGGAATTCCTTGTTAATTCGGAGATATAAAAACGAAATCAAACTAAGGCACCCCTCCCCCCCCCCCCCCCCCCCCAAAAAAAAAAAAAAAAAAAATCTGCCCTCCGCCAGGATTGACAAAAAAAGAGCCTGGATTTTGGCTGAGCTTGGTGCCAAAAGTGCCCTACCGATGATCCAGAACGAAACTACAATTTCCATGTTTCTTGAGCTGCACAGAGTGACACGGCTGGGTTCCACCCGAGCGACTTGGGTTCTCCTACTTTAGTCACAGCTTTCTTTTCTATAACACCTGAGACTGCTGTTCTTGCAAGTGTGTTACCTGTGTTTCTTTTTAGCTTTCATGATCCCACATGGCAAACAGTCCTCTTTTTTTGCAGTATTGCTTTCATTATATTAGGAGTATTAGCTGCAATGGCTCGAAATAAATTTGAAAAACTTTTAGCTTATGTATAGTTCTATTTGTCATGTAGGTTCGAAGCAAATTGTCTGACTGCTTCATCCTTTTTCAAACGAAACATTGGATCACTATGTGTATTAAGGGCTCACTTTCCTGATCGCTCTTATACCGCGTATGCCTTATTTGTGCTTCTATTTGTGCGTCCATGTTTTGCTGTGTTGATGCAGCCATTAAGGGCAAAGCACTGCCATGATTGCCAGAAATGTGTGCTCCGTTTCGATCATCATTGTTTCTGGGTCAACACTTGCGTTGGACAGCATAATCATTGCCGCTTCTGGTACAATTTCACAACCTGTGCTTTCGGTTTGTTGTTGGATTTGCAGGAAAAAAACAGCAATTTTCAATGCATCCATTTTGTGCTCCCTCACTTTCAGCTGGGCCCTTAGTCACAGACGATAACATAACCGAAGGAACAGCGAAAGCAGCATAATCATATAATGAATTGCCACTCTCTCACACCGTCATTAGGGCACAGGAATATGACTGCATTTGAAATGGTAAACTCTGATTTGGTGAATTACTGACAACCAGCCAAAACAAAGAGGCAAGGGAACTGTATCGAAGACTGAGCTGTGCACCGCAAACACTAGCTAGAGTGGATTGAAAGGTTACCTAGGCGCTTCAGCAAATAGTTGGTCTGTGCGGAACTCTTCCTTACTGCCACATGTGTACAAGAATGTTGCGACTCTCATTCTGCCAGCATGGGTGTACAGGATTGTATGACCTCCCTCGACAGTCTCTCTCTCCCCCAACATGCATGTCAAGTGTTGCGATCAGCCTCAGCACTCCTCTGGCCGTGTATGTTAAGCACCTTGCGAACCCTGTTGACTGTCTCTGCACGCGGACGGCTGTGTAATGCACCTTCTTCTCCCAATCAAATAGCCCTCTTCCTTCAATGTGCGTAATCTTGTGCCCATGGATGCTCCTCCCTTTCTACCCATCCATCTTCCTCCTATGTGAAACATCTCACAAATCCGTCTCTTCCAAGATTTGTGTAAAGCATCTCCCGGACCAAGATTTGTGCAACTACAGGCCGATCACGCTCCTCACTATGACCCAGAAAATTATAGCTAAAGCACTAGCTAAAAGACTAAGAGTAACACAGAGCTGCTTCCATCTCAACCAAACTGGATTTATACTGGGGCGGTTTATGTTGGACAATGTGATGACACTAATGGTATCAGTGAGGTACATCAAGGACAAACGAATTAACGCACTTCGAAAAAGCATACTATCAGGTTAGTTGGGTATTCCTTCAGCAATGTATGGAATGAATGGGAGTGGGGCCTAACTTTAGGAAGTGGGTTAGGGTGCTGTACAGCGATGCACACAGCGAAGTCCAGGTGAACGGGCACCTGTCGCTAGCATGCAAAATGGCCTGCTCAGTACGACAGCGGGACCCGTTGGCAGCTCCTCTCTCCCTATTTATATCAGAAGCTATAGCTTCCTTCCTGCAGAAGGACCCTTCTATTCAAAGGCTAGTGGCAGAACCAGACCAGCAGAACCGGAATATCTCCATCCCTACGGCCATACTGTTTGCCCACGACTTGACTGTTTTAATCAGAGCGTCCGACTCGTCCTTCGAAGCTCTTGCACGCGCAATGCAAGCCTTTCAAATTGTGTCAGAAATGCGCATCAACTGGTCCAAAACAACAGGATGGTGGTTAACTAATACGGACGAAAACATACCAACACCGCTGTCCACTCCCGAACGAATGCAATGGCTATGCCTAGGACGGCCCCTACGCTTCCTCAGTATTGGAGTCACGGAAAACAGGCCCCTCTCACTCAATTTTGGCCAACAATGGCACCAGAATTGTTGGCCAAAATCATAGCAGCGATCTGGACCACCCGGCGGGGATCCAGACCGGCCGGGGTCCTGTGTCTGGTACTGGATTCCAGATGTCGGTCCGGATAGTGGGCCTCAGGGCCAACGACCAAATTTTCTTTGGCGGTCTTGGGCGTTTCTTCACGCCCAGTGCCGCCAGAAAAAAAACGGACCCTTTTTTCTTAGGGCGCTGGTCGGGATCCGGGAGGCCCGGAATTTTTTTTTTTTTGGGGGGGTGGACTTTGTTAGTCGTTTTTTCCCTTGCGCGTTTGAATGTTTTGGCAGCCGCCCTTTTGCACAGGGACCTTCAAATTCAAAGGTCTGCCAAGGCCATTCCCCCCCGCTTCGACTTTGGTGTTGCGAACAACCTGCCATCGCCGTGACGAGGGAGGGAGACGCAGGGCAACGAGGCGCGTGAGGAGAGCAGCGTGAGGAGCAGCGTGAAGCACGTTGGTCTCTCTCTCTCCTGTCTCTTATACACATCTAGATGTGTATAAGAGACAGCTCTTCCCCTAGACAGCTCTCCCCCTCTCCACCTCTCTCGTTCTCTTCCTTTACCCCTCCCCTTGCCCCTGCTCTCTCTCCCCTCTTCTCTCTCTCTCTACCCCCTGCCCTTTTCTATCTGCTGGTTCTGTTGCCCCTGTTCTCTCTTGCCCTCTTGCCCGCTCTCTGTGACCCTTGCTCTCACCAACTCACCTTTGCTCTTTCTCCCTCCCTCCCCCACCCATTCTTCTATCTCTTGCGCCTGCTCTATATTCCCCTTTCTCCCTTGCCATGCTGTCTTGCTCTCTCCTCCTCCCTTGCCACCGCTCTCTCTCAACCCGACTCTCTTCTTCTGTCACCCCTGCGGGCTCTCCTTGCTCTCTTGCCCCCTCTCGGACCCCTCCACTCTCCCACTCCTCTCTTACACACCCCGCTGTCTGTCATTCTTTCTGCCGTGTCCTTCTTCTCTTCCTCTTACGCCTCCTGGCCTCCTCTCCCCCAACCCCCCTCTCGTCCCCTTTCTCTCGTGGGCCTTTTCCTCTCTCTTTCCCTTTCTCTACTCCTCTCTCTTTCCCTTTCTCTACTCCTCTTTCCCTTTCTCTACTCCTCTCTCTTTCTCTCTCGCGCACCACCTGCTGTGCAGTGCAGTGCAGTGCATCCACATGTGTCATGGTGTGAGGCAATTAGAGTAGGCCCTCTTGAGAGTGCCTGCAGAGGGTCTAACGACCCTCTGCCAACGTATGTGGAGCGGTACCTAAATTTTTGTCTTGGCCGTGTGTGTGTGCAGCAGACCATAACTAAAACTAGGAGGTTGGGCTGGCCCTCTGCATGTAGTTGTGGAGTGTCTACCGGCCCTCCCAAACATCTCTGGGCAGGTGATGATAACTGCCGCGGTCCATGAAAAACAGTGAGTGGACCAGTAGGCCCTCTGCTGTGTTTTGCAGAAGGCCTGTGGTTTGCCACATAAAAAATGAAAGTTGGGCAGCGTTGCACTTCGTGTTTTGCCACATAAAAAATGAAAGTTGGGCAGCGTTGCACTTCGTGTTTTGCTCTGCGAAGTGCAATGCTTCACAACCTTCAGTGCTCCCGTTTTCCTACGTGGAATGCTCATCATTCATAAGCCCCCTATGGATGGTCCTGATTGGGTCTTGGTGAACTCAAGGCTGATCAAAGTGCAGTAAGACCTGTCTCTTGCTTCGAGAGGGATGATTACGATCAGCCCCTGATTGTTTCTGTGGCACCCTAAAATTAGTCTGAAGACTCTGAACTATGATCTGCCCCTGATCGTTTTGGTGCCGCCCTAAAAATTGTCTGAACTATTGCGAGTCTGACAGATGGACGCTTAGGATCCTGAGCTCATTACGCTCGGTTGGAATAGGTGCTTTATAATGCATATACAATTTCTTTGAAATTTTTGGTGTGCAGTGCCACCTTTTTGGCGCACCGGAACTATGCTTATGGATAGCCAACCTACTTTTGGGCCAACACTGTGCAGTGCTATGTTGTTTTGATGTACTTGCTGGTACGCGCTTTTTACTATTTTCAGAATAGAAAATTGAAGGCCACACTTTTTTGGGGGTTTCTTCATGTGTTTAACCATGGTGTTCCCTCCCCCCCCCCTCTGCCTGGTCAGATAATTGTTCGGATGGGGGTTTAAGGGCGACGTGGTTGGTACTTCATGGAGTCTTCATTCTGATGGCAGCATTTCTGCCGACAAGGCTCCACGACGCTCTTCACAGACACAATTATTGGTGAGTGAACATTTCCCAGGTATGGTACTCTTTTTCGGTGCTCTGCTTGCGTTTCTGGCGGGTGGAAAAAGGTGAGGACTAAGCATTTGCTCATTTATAAATTGGTAGTCCATGTTCTCCATTCTGAGAGGCAACAGATTTTTGGACGTAATGCTGCGACATGGACGGGATTCCATTGTTCATTTGGAACGCTGGCTACAGAGTTGTGATGAATGCCTCTGTAGGAAGATTTACATGCGCGGGTATGCACACATGTGAGTACGCCTCTGTGTGTCTGTCTTTTTTTTTTTTTTTTTGGGTGTGTTTGCGTTTCAAGTGTTTGTGAATATCCCCAAACTCTCTCTCTCTCTCTCTCTCTCTCTCTCTCTCTCTCTCTCGTTGCATTCACATACCATCACAAACCATCCAGAAACAAAAGAAGTCGAGATGAACATTATAATAGAAGGTGTAAGGTTCCCCACGTTTGTGTGGTTGAGCGGGAAGTGCCCACACACCCATCTGCCGCCAAAGTGGCACACTTGCACAAATATGTATAGTTTTTTTGGTGTGTGTGTGCACATAGTAGCGTGTGCCTCTGGTGTGTGTGTGTGTGTGTGTGTGCGTGTGCGTGGGTGCATGCATGTATAACGTATAAATAGATGAATGGACAAGTTGGATGAATTAAATTGTGTGGTATAGCGACACTGAAGGATCATGTGCATAGATCCACGTGCATGGTATTGGGCCGTTCTCCTTTTTGGTTTTGAGCAAAGCGACCATGTTTCTCGTTCTCAATCCGCTCTCCTCTCATCTAAATGGTAGTTCATTTCCATCTGGCTTTTTGGTTTCCATAGTTGGCATCCAATCGTAGCATTTGTTATTTGTTGCTGCAAATGGTGAGATTGCATCTGTACAACATTGTGGGAGGGTTGCTGGTGGAATCAAAGACGTTGCTGACAAGGTGTCTTGAAGCTAATGGTTGTGGCTGGTTCTATGCAGTCAGCAAGGCCCCTCTCTTCATACCTCTTGGCTTATGTTTGACCATCAGGAATCTCCAGCAGCAGGCACAAGATAGAGTCTGTAATACGCCACTGTGTGGGAAGAATTGATAATTGTGAAGTGTGCTTTCCCACTGACTTTCTCGCTCACATATTAGTTTTGTGCCTGTACCCTCTTGAAGGAGATGAATCGATAGTGAAATAAGGATTGTATTTGTTTTTGTTTGCAGGTTTGCTGGAGGTTACTTTGGTGTCGTATTGGCGACATTTGCGCAATACTGGTTCACAGCAGGTTCATCTCCAGGGTAACGTTTTATACCTTGGTACAAGATACCCACTTTTACTTGGCTGTACCTTCGACTGTCCTGCTGGTGTAGGTTTGGAAACTAGAAGGCTTCTCCGAGAAAATTGTAGCTGGCTCTATGGTGTATCCAGAGGTGTTGAAACTTGAAACACTATTGGTATCCTGAGCAATGCATGAGACTTGGAAAAAAGACCAAATCTTGCGATTACAATGTGCTGCTTCACCCATACTCCCCCCCTCCTCCTTGCCCTCCTCGCCCTCCTGCTCCTCCTCCTCCTCCTCCTCCTCCTCCTCCTCCTCCTCCTCCTCTTCTTCTTCTCCTCCTCTTCTCCTCCTCCTCTTCTTCTTCTTCTTCTTCTTCTTCTTCTTCTTCTTCTTCTTCTCAATTCAGCAGAGTTTAGAATTCTTGAGACGCAGGATCTGGAGGAGGGGGAGGAGGAGGAGGAGAAGGAGGAGGAGGAGGAGGAGGAGGAGGAGAAGGAGGAGGAGAGTCTGAGGGCTGTAGTTGCCTTAGCTTATCTTCTGCCTGTGGCCCAGTGTGACTTCACCATTTGTGGCCTTCTCCAGGACGGTAGGATACTGTCTAGAATTTCTTCCACACTCCTGTTGAAAATTGTGACACCCCTCAGCTTCTGAGCTGTCATATTTCTGTTGCCTTGCAGGTATGTAAACGAGGTGTTGAGGGAACTTCAGAATGAAATAGAGAGGCAAGAAGCAGAAGTACCATCCACGCCAAGGTATTTATGATGCATGATGTTGTGCTCGATCTTCTTTTCACCGTGCTGTCTGCCTTGTTGTTAAATCTGTCATTGTTTGCATTTGCGTCAGTTCAATCTGGTTAATTCAAAGGGGCCACGTGCAGAGCAGTGCATAAGCATCATTTCTTTTGGGTGAAGAGAGAAAAGGGGTGGTCAAGGGTGGGAAAGATGGGGAGGTAGATTTAGATAGAGGATGAAGGACAGGGGTGGGAGAGGGGAAAAGCGGTGGAGACATGACAAGGATGCTCTCAGGCTCAGGTCCTCTATGTGGCCACATTTTTAACGTTTAGACGGAGAACGAAAGGGAGGATGGAAGGAGGGTCACGTTTGGTGAATGTCCTTCAGTCATTGTTAATGTGATGATGTGCGAAGTCTTGAGTTCTCTGGGTCGAAGTATTTGTGTGCTCTGATGCCTTTTCGGCACGTTGACCACTCACTAGAGGAGTGGTATAACATTGCTTCCCACATTGTAAGATTTCTGATACCAGTATCCTTCTCTCTTGTTTTTGCCGATTTTCCTGGTCATTGGTGGATGTAGAACTTGAAAAATCAAATACTTGTGTATAACCACTGATCAGTTCAGAATGTCCTAAGGTGATCTGTGTGTGTGGTTGAAGTCAGTAAGGTCTATAAGCTCTCTATGATTGAGGCTATTGTACATCGGAAGGTCTTTCATTGACTGCTGTAGTGCACACATGTCGTTTTCCGTTGTCTGGCATACCAATAACGCTAATCGCATGAGTAGTGTTTTCAGTTCTTTGCTATTTTAGGTGTCAATGCTCATGCCTGATGCATGCACAGAGGCCAGGGACGAACATAGAATATACTCCAGCTAGTCTAGCACAACAATGACAGTGCCTCACCCTCTCTCCTCCTAGGTGCCTGTGCCAGGTTTCACGAGGTATTGTGATGCTCAACCTCACACCCCGTGCAGCACTTCGTACCCGTAGGAGAACATGGGTCAGAGTATGGGACGTGGCTGAGGATTTTAGGGAAAGGGGGTTGAAAATCGAGGGAAGAACCGAAATTTCGAGTGTTAGTCCGAGGGGCGTCCATGTGAGGATGGGAAAAGAAATCCCAAGTGGGCTTTAGCAAAAATTGTCCCCCGCTGTGGAGGTACTTAGAGAGAAATCTGAAAGGAGACAAAACTGATTACCGAAAAGGAAGGGCAAGACTGCGAGTTCCACAAGCTCGGCCTTGGAACACGAGAGAAGGCCCGGATTCGAAAATGGATGAGAATTGTCATGACCGTCTAATCACTCGGATTGTTCTGAGGATTCGCCGTTGGACGGTGGAGGAGGCAGAGGAATGGGTACAGGGAAGCTTTCCAGAAGCGCTTTTGCCACGACTATTCTTCGGAAAGCGGACCGCGCCCACAAATTCCCCACCTTGCACCATAGACAGTTAAACCAGGGATTCCATGTGGCGTGTGCCGCCGACCAAGGCAACACGGTCAGACCTGAATAGGAAAGGATAATTTGGGGTGAATCAAAACAGTCAATCAGGTGTGTGCAGTAGTGCGCTCCTCACATCAGCATCGCAGTAGATGACATCTTCCTCTGTAGGGGGGTAACTCAAGGAGGCTGCTATGGCGCAACGAGACGGGCTTCGAGCACCGGCAATTACCCGCACTTAGATTTAGGGATGCAAAACGACGACTACATACATGCCTCTTGTCCATGTGTCGGGGGTTAGTCCGAGCCCGGAGGGAACCCTGGACCAATCTTGTGAAAACTAGAAGACAATCAGCAAACGTGGAGATAAGTACGAGAAAAGAGCATGCAACCCTACAAGTTCCAGCGTACACTTGTGATTGCCCATACATACATAATCATTTGTGAGTGAAGAATACATCTGTCATTCATACTCTAACATTCCACGTGCAAGATGAAGAGTGTAACGAGGAAAATGCACCACAGACGTTCACGGCGAGTTAAGCACGCAATTGGCTCACGCTACTCGCGCAGAACCAACTTTCCGCAGTTGTGGAACGAAGCCTGAACATACATTTGACACTCACAGCCAAGGCCATGCACATGACTCAGTCCTCCTGGACGGACTTAGACAAGTACAAAGGAGCGATGGAGTCTCCCTCAATGTTTCCTTATAAAGAACTGCGTGTATACCTGCGCGATATACTAAACACCATCACGAGCCATGTCCCAGGTGAACCACTCTGGCTCACTGCCTGCTTTTCATGCTCACACACACACCACCAACTCCACTGCTCTGTCCCTCCAGCAGCTATCTACCGATCCTACTGCTAGACTCACCCCATGGTGTCACTCTGCCCGATCCTAGGTCTTCGCACACAGTCGGCGCGGCATTGCAGCTGAGATCAAAGTGGAGGAGAGGAAGGGGCTGTGCGAAGTTGTAGGCATGGAGGTAGCGGGATGCCGGTGTGAATAGCGGCAGAAGAGGCTAGAGCGAAGCAGGGGAAGAGGAAGTGCGTGGATCAAGATGAGAGTGAGTTGATGGGATGATTGAATTTTTTGTGAAATTGGGTTTTGATCATCAGAGTCGTGTGCAAACTATCGCTCCTATGGCTCGCGAGGAGCTTGGTTGCGTGCATGTAAAGAACGCGTGCATACATCACTACTGGAAGGAAAAAGGCTTGAACTTGACTTGTTCTATTCGTAACTGTTTTTATTTCTTGACGCAGCTGCTATCAGCAGCGTGGTCCTAAAATGATGATATGCAAGGACATAAAACAAAAATCGGCTATCCTACATGCAAATCCGGAGATGGACCTCTCTTTGACTCCTGCCATCATAAAGCTCCATCCCAGGTCCCTCAATCGGATTTTACCCGAAGGGTAGGCATCTCTGTGGGATATGGACAGTAGTTTGTCCCAGTATTCCAGAATAGAAGCCCATCTAACAGCAAATGTTGAGGATTGCTGCATACCAACCATCTCATGACGGAGCCAGAACCATGCTGTGCTTCCATGTTGCCCAACCTTTGTTTTGGCACTAGGGACTTTTTCTTAATCTGAGGCCGGTTTGTCTCACACGCATCAGGTTGCATGTCTCTATGCATGCCCACCTATACGATGATATGGATACCAAATTGTGGTTGTCGTTTGCATTCTTTGTCTGCTACCCATGCATGCCCTTACCCATGTGGCTTTGGTTTTTTGTTTTTTCGTTGTGGAGTGTTATCTTTTAGTATGGCTGTATAGCACTTGATCTGTTAGGGATCTGAGTATATAGGGTTAGCCCCCTCCGGCTCATAGGTGTTCTCACAGTGTTAAACACTAGAGGTGTTTTTTTCTTCTTCTGGAACCAATGCTGTGCCAGGTGGTCTGTTCCTCGTTGCCCAGGATTCAGGAATTCCCACAGCCTCAATGGACCCTTCTCAACTTTTGGTGGGCCAAACCACAATGTCAGGCTGTTCGATCAGCCTCTGCTGCATTCACAAGGAGCTGTCATAATCAATGTATCACTGCGAGATGGAGCCGCAACAGAATGGACTCCTCTTCTTCCTGGCAGCACCACTCCGCCGCCTGATCTTCCCCCTCTTAATGGAAATGGATCAAGTGGATGGCTGCCAAGGCCAAAGGGACGTGTTCTCAAGATTTCAACGAAAGAACTGGGTGCTTTGGAACGGCTGGTGGAAGATGAAGCGCAGATGCTGGGCCAGTATGCAAGGTATGCAGACTTCGGAAGTTTTTTTCCTTACTGTTATGTGGGAGCAACACTGCATGTCGCCAGTTATTTTGTTCGAAATTGGATTGAGTGCCTTCACACCAACGACCCTTTTGAGGGGTTCTGTGTATTGCCATGGTCGTTCAAGACCATGCTTTAGGGGGCCAGCTATTTGCTCCTTTGCGGCTTCTGATTGCTGAAGTCCGTGGCGCATTTGCGTTCTATGCTCCTGTCCTACGTGAGGATGAGTGGGAAGGTGTGTAGGTTTTCAGGAGTTTGTGGTGTCTCCCTTCTTCCTCGATCCCTTTGAAAATTCTTTGCATTCTCAGGGGCTTGTGGTGTCTCCACTTATTCCCCCCCCGGGTGACATGCCCGCCCAGGCAAGCAAAACAGCCCAGCCTGTAGCAAGTTTTCTGTTGAGGGATGCTCTGTCAGTACTGGAGGAGGAGAGATAAAGGTCCTGCACCTTTTCAGAGATGGTAATGATTATAATGATGGGTGGAATGCCGGTGATGGACATGGTCGCATTGCTGATGCTGATGTACATGGTGGACATGGTGATGATGATAGACTGGGTGTGTCTGTGGTGCGGCAGGTGCTGCCAAATGGATGAAAGGGGCATGAGACATCTGGCAATCGTAAGCGTTGCATAACGTTTTAAGTGCACTGAATAACCAGCCTGACTTCTGAATTGTGCTGCTAGTGTACCGACTCTTGATGTTGGCTAGTCGGTTGGCACTCTCTGCTGTTATCCTGCTTGTTTACATCAAGAGTCGGTACACTACCAGCAGGGTGCCAACCAACTGAGCAGACACTTGAAACGCCCTCTGCCGTCTGCTGCTAGTGTGCCGACTCCTGATCTGGAGTGTTTTGACCAGCTGTTCTGTTGTCCATAAGCATACTAGTGGTAGCAAGGTAGATAATGCTCAGAAGACAACTGGTTGGAGATGTTTAAGTGTCTGGTCGGGTTGTCGAGTGCTGGCACGCTTGAAAGGTTTTGAAGGTTGCAGCCAAGTTAAATCAGTTGTGTGCAGAACTCGTTCAGGTTGGTTAATCGAGATTAGGAGGGTTTCTTTTTCTCTTCTTTTCTTTTCTTTTCTTTTCTTCTTCTTCTTCTTCTTTTTTTTTTTTTTTTTTTTTTTTTTAACAGGTCCTTATGGGCCCGGCTCCATTTCCCTTTTTGGGAGCATCAGTCCGGTTCCTTTTCCACCGGCAAGTCAGAATAAAATATTACGTCATGGTTCTCAAGTGACATAAGAGTTCATGTGCCTTTTGCAGTTCCTTTTCTGTCGCTGGAGCTGAAGGCCAATGTGGGCAGCCAAGTAGGGAACTGACAGCATATTGGAAAGAGACATGGGTTTCTGAAGATGAGGGAGACGAGATGTAATCGGTGACATCTCTCTTGAAAGCTGCTGTGTGCATGTCTAACTTCACAACAGTCTTAACGCCAAGCTCTTCTCCTTGTAGGATCAGAACAAAAGACGAGCACGAAACCAAAAACTACCCGTTTGTTCCGGTGGAAATGGCCAATCCGTAGTTTCAGTAACTGGTGCCCCCCATTGAGACACCTACCTTTTCTGGCAACACCACCTGGCACCTGCTATGGCTTCTTCTTCTGCCTCCTCTGCTCGTGTGTGTGTGCTTTCGTGAGAGAGAGAGAGAGAGAGAGAGAGAGAGAGAGAGAGAGAGAGAGAGAGAGAG